GTAGTTAGTCCACTGTATGTCACTACACAACTTGGCAACCCTCAGCTTCTGTCAGTCTCCTTCATAGCCCATTGAGATGACACCATCCCTGTTCCAGACTACATCCACATACATGTACCAACTCCCCACAAAGTATTGTGTACTGCAAACATGTATTAATAAAAAAAAAAATTTTTTTTTTTTTTTTGGTCTTTTGGAGATAGAGTTTCGCTCTGCAGTTCAGGCTGGCCTTGAGCTCACTTTGTAGCCCAGGCTGATTTCAAACTCACACGATCCTCCTGCCTCAGCCTCCCGAGTGCTAGGATTACAGGCATGTGCCACCATGCCCAGCTAATAAAAATATTTTAAAACTTAAAAAATATATCCAACAGCATGGCTTCCCTCTTTCATCAATGTTTTAGCTATGTTACCAAGCATCCAAGCATTTAAAAGGCTATTTTAGTTGGTACACAACTCTAGTAACCTTATTTCCTGACCCTCAAATCTGGCTGAGTACTTTTGACAGGTATGAGAGTATTTATGGAGACCAGAAGACAGTATTTGGAGTTGACAGCTTAGGGTCACTGAAAAGCTGTACCTGCTGCTCCCACAGAAGAGAGGATGCCCTTTATCCACAGAGAGTGTCTGGCCTCTCTGCTGGAGCCGTAGAGCTGCTGGTTCTTATTTGTAATCCTACTGACCATTTTCTTCGGCATTTAGTCGCTACTTACTCATGTGATATCTAGGTCAGCTCTGTGGTGTAGAGAACAAGTTTATTGAGGGTGAGACGACTTTAGGCCTAGGATTAACTCTGCTGTCAGTTTGCTATGTGGCCTTGGATAATTCATTAAAAAAAAATAACTGCTAAGATTCTTGCCTTCCAGGAACTTAGCCCAGTAGAAAAATAGTTATAAGTGTACCTAAGTTGACTACCTAGTTCAGTGCCTACAGGGTAAAAGAACTTTGGTTACAATACTAAGAATGAACAAGGCCTTCTACGCTTCATTCCTCACAGGCTAGTGTGAGTGGCACGCCAAGGTGATGAAAAGATCTGTACCCCAGGTAATGCTTACCCAGCTAAGTGTGAGAACGCGGGAAGGAGCCATGCCCGAGCGTCACTGGAAACTACTTATTCAGCAAGTGTGTTGCAGTCCCACCGTGTACCAGGCTCTGGCCCAGCCATCTTCCAGGCTTGAGGAAGGGCCCTTCTTTCAATATTCTTTATTTTGGTTTTTATTTGTTTGTTTTTTGGTACCTGGAATTGAACTCAGAGCCTCATGCTTGCCAGGTGGGCACTGTGCCACTGAGCTATATCCCCAGCTGATCTTCCTTATTTTGTAGCTGACATTCTACCCTTTTTCTTGCCCCAGTGGGGTTGGGAGGGGTTGTGGTATGGACTTACACCTCAGTGGGCAGCAGAAGCCAGTGACCATGTACCTTTCTATTCTGCCACAGTCAGGGGTTTCACCTGCATGCCATTGTTTCCTGAGAGCCAAGAGGCCAGAGGCAGATTCCGCTCACCTCTTTTCCCCCGTGCAACACTGGCATAGGGTGCTATTTATGTCAAATTTTATCATGGTCAGTATCAAGACTAAGAATTAGGCCTCTTTTTAAGGAAACCCTAAGGTACAGAATAATGGACTGTTATTTATTACAAGAACATCTGCCTGGAAGGTTGAGGTAAAGGTAGTCCAGATGTGTAGATGTTCTCAGGCTTGGCTTCCTCTGGCTAGATAATTTTTCACTTCAGCTGCCAAGTGTCCCCAAAAGAAGGTGGGATGTTGGATAATGCTGTTTTTACCTCTCCAAGCACTTGCTGCTGCAGCAAGTGTACCTAATGATTTCCCAGTGAGGGACAGACATCTAACTGGGGACATGAGACCTCTGGCAAGCCACTAAATAGATAGCATTTCTTGCTGAAATGTGCCCAGTAACCTGTCTGAAGTATTGGTGGTTATATTGCCAATCTAGCCCAGCTCGCACGCTTAACAAACTGATTTCCTTAGTAGGAAGGTTAGAACTAATCATCTAAGAATTCTTGCCTAGCCAGGCATGGTGGCACACGCCTGTAATCCCAGCACTCAGGAAGCAGGGGCATGAGGATCACTACAAGTTCACAGCCAGCCTGGGCTACAAAGTGAGTTCAAGGCCAGCCTGAACTGCATAACGAAACCCTGTCTCAGAAAGGAAAAAAAATAAAATAATTCTTGCCTAGACACCAGTGTAGGTTATATAGTGAGTTCAAGACTAGCCCAAATTACATTGTGAGTCCTTTTCTCAAACCAAAATAGGTAGATAGATAGATAGATAGATAGATAGATAGATAGATCCTAAGGGAAAAATTTTTTTGTTTGGTTTTTTTGAGACAAGGTCTCACTATGTAGTTCAGGCTGATCTCCAGTTCCTGGCAATCCTCCTGCCTCAGCCTCCCAAATGCTAGGATTACAGGTGTGTGCCACCATGCCTGATTCTTCATCTATAAAGTGGAGATCTTAATATCTACACTCACAGACAAGTTGTGAGTTTGCATGAGGTAATACATTTCAGAGAACTTTGGGTCTGGGGCATAGAAAGTGTTTAGTGATGAGAGCAAAATTTTGTAGTTAACACTTTGGTTGATAGCACACACCTACATCTTGTTCTAGTATTGAGAGGGTAGAAGAAAATGAGATTAAAATTTGTCTACTAAAATGATGGCTAGGAGGGTTTACTGTGATTAGGAGTAAAGTCCCTTTCAGTTCCATTTTTCGCCTTCAACCATTTATTTGGAACTTCAGTCTTACTGAGGAACAATGCTGTTATGTTAGTTTTGACAGGGAAATTTGGAAGGATTGATGGAATAATGTTGTTTAAATACAGATGGTTGGCTTTGGGTATTCACATTCTAGAGTTAACCTTTTAAATAGGGATTTTTTTTAGGAGGAGCATTACTTAACTCATTGTTACTTAATTACAGCAATGTAATAGACCAGGCTTGATGGAGCTTACTTGAAATCTCACCTGCTTGAGAGGCTGAGGCGGGAGGATTACAATTTGGAGGCCAGCCTGGGCAATATAGCAAAACGCTGTCTCAAAATAAAAAAAACTTAGTAAGAGCTAGAGATTTAGCTCAGTGGAGAGTGCTTGCCTAGCATGTGCAGCAGAAGCCCCCGCTTTTCCTTTGTAATGTTTCCCATTTATTGGATGACCATCATGTACAAGAGGCTGAGCCACTTCCCTGAATAGTATCCTTTAAGCCATGTGACCACCGTGTGCCCCCGGCACTGTCATGAAGGGGCAGATGACACACTGCCTGGCCCAGGTCACAGAACTCAGCAGTCTGGATTCCCACCAGGTTTATCAGATTTCAAAGCGTAAATTCTTCTTGTAGTTTATTTCCTATAAAGAATTGTGAACTCTTCATTTGCTTTTCCTTACTTCTTTGGTTAAGTCTGAAGTCAGAGCCTGTTTGCCTCTGGTGCTCGGGGGACTGATCAGGAGTGGGCCTGTCACAGTGGGCAGAGGCAAGCACAGAAGCACACGATTTTTCTCCAGGACCCCAGAGTCCTCTACACAGGCTGGTGTGAAGATTGCATTATCTGTGCTTTTGGGTTGTCCCTGGAAGTACAATCAACCAGCAGCCCAGAAATTGACTCACTCTTTCTTCAGCATGCATTTTATTGTCCACTGTTCTCTTTTTTGCCACTTGTTTGCATAGGAAGTCCTCAAAGAATCTCAGACTAAACAGGAAGTGACTGTTCCCATATAAAAGATTCTAAAGGAAGGAGGATGGTCCGGAGAAGGAACGGGAAAGGTTGACATTGGCACTTGACCTGGCAGTTATCTCTAGTGGATTTTCTGTAAAGATCTTTAACTAGGTTTATACCCTATGAACATTTCTTAAGTACATCTGTCCTTCGGTGTTGGTCTCATCACCTTGGAAAGGAAACCATATTGCGGAGTGGATCACCCTCCTTTTAATAGATACTTTAACAAAAGATCAAAATTTCAAGTGTATTTCTTTGGCTTTACAAAAATTTAGCCTTTATAAACAGCCAGAGTTTTTTTCCTCACGCAAGCTTCAAAATGAATAACTTTGAAATAGAATATCTCAATACTGATAGCGTTAATGAGCGTGCACTTGGAGACAGACCTTCCTTGGGTTTGAGCCCAAGCACTGTCATTTGGTAGTTGGTGTCATTTAAGCATATGAGACTTTTTCTCCTTGGTAAAATGGAATGTTGTGAGATTTAAAAGGAAATAAGTTCTCAAATATTTGCTGCTGCCACTACTTCATGAGGAAGGTGACTTTGAGAAAAGAATAGACAAAGAATTATATTGTCTTGTTGGATTAGTTGGCTTTACTCTTTCCTAATGTGGAAGTGGAAGCCACTGAGAATTAACCCCAGGCAAGTGTATCAGAAAGCAAATTCTCTTTGGTACTGTCAGCCTAAATAGAATGCATACTATGTATGTCTTTTCTAGAAAGAGGAAATTATTAGTTCTCTAATCCATCTTTATCTTTTAAAGTATATAACATCTGTTACCCATGCAGAGTGTGTGGAAAACTTCCTGTTTACTCCAGGGCATCTGTGTTAAAGGATGTGGATAGTCATCTTATTGTTATTTTATTAAATAAACTTGGCCTGCTTTTTATAAACATCTTTGAATAATTCAGTCTCATACTCAAGATGTGTCTGAGTGACAACTGTCCAGCATCTTTTCTGATATATAGAGGCCAGAAAATGCAAAATTAGCTGGGCATGGTGGCTCATGCCTGTAATCCCAGCACTTGGGAGGCTGAGGCAGGAGGACTGCTGTGAGTTTAAGGCCAGCCTGCATTACATAGTAAGATCCTGTCTCAAAAAAAAAAAAAAGAAAAGAAAAGAAAATTCAAAATTAGTGAAAAGAGCAGGTGTGTCTCATCTTGCTTGAAATCTTTCTGGCACTTCCCACCCTGCTGTGAGTTTCTCTGGAAGCCTTGCTGATGATATGTTGATACTCACTTTGTTTTTGTGCTTCCTTTTCTCTTTTCTGGACAGAAACCAAAGCCCAAACCTCGGCCATCCATCACAAAGGCAACCTGGGAGAGCAATTATTTTGGGGTACCCTTAACAACTGTTGTGACTCCGGAGAAGCCGATCCCCATTTTTATTGAAAGATGCATTGAGTACATTGAAGCCACAGGTAAGAGTGTTTGTTACCGTATAGCAGATCATAGCTTTTGCTGTCTGCAGGACATTTGCAGGAGGGTTAAGCTTTTTGGTGTTTATAGAAGCTGTGGTTCGGTATGAGATGACCTGAGAGCGGTCAGATTTGTTGGTCTTCTGTTTTTGTGCATTTGTGAGACTGTCCTGTGGCATTTGTGTGCAGGAGCTGTTCTGTCCTTGGCATTGCAGTCATAGCAGGTTATATTCCTTCTCTGTGCTGGCTTCAATACTCAGCCATAGCATGCAGCACTGTTTGTCAGTTGCCTGGCTGTCTCTGTCCTCTATAGATGTGTAAGCTCCTTAAGGCCAGGGAGCAGGTTTTATTTATCCTGTTGTCTGCATGTACTGGACAAATAACACACTTTTAGTTAATAAAATGAATGAGAGCTAACTGTTGCAGCCCCTGCCACTATTGAACAGATACCTGAGACTTCTATATTGATAGTATATTTTTTCTGAGGTAAGAAAGCAATTTGGATGCTTGGCTATCTTGTCATGAATTTGAATTTCAGTCACACTGGCCAGGTGGGGTTAGCACAAAGACAGACTGTCTTAAAATTCTTCTGCAGCATTCTTAAAATGACCAGATTTTCCTTATATTAAAACCATTTATTTTATTCAGAATGCCCATGTGTGTGTCTCTTTGGCCTTCCAGTTTCACATCATCGTTTCTCTTGATTTTTCTCCTGGCTGTTCTCAAAGCTGATCATCTTTGAAGAAAAGGTAGTATAGCTTTAATAACTGAGCTCAAAAATGCAGGTTTATGTAGATTTGAGACTCAAGTAGGAATTACAGCCTCCTTCGTGTCCTTTCTAATGCCACTGTTATCTGTAATGACCCTAAGCACTGTGTGTGTGGACAGCCTGCCAGGCTCAGCTGATCATTCAGCAACATCCTGTGAGGCCAGTGACAGTGTTAATATTTACCTAGGATGTGCCAAATCAGGGAAGACTGCTTTCAAGTTGAAGTTCACAAAGACTCTATAGTTATTTCCAGGGTTTCCTCTGTAGCACCCAGCATTAAATAATCATAGCAGATCTGCATCCTAGCTTAGTCCATTCTGTACCTAAAATCTTCTCTCAGTGTCCATCTTTTCACAGTGCTTTCACATCAGCATTTTCTTCCTGGCATCTCTCTCTCCCTCTCTCTCTCTCTGACAAGGAGAAAATCTGCAGGAAGCAAGTCTGAATCGTCAAAGCCCCTCCTTGTTGACCTATACTTCAGAGAGATAGGGATTTTCATGAGGGGAGATAAGGAGAAACCTTTTTCCTTTACAATAATTTTAGATTTCTAGAGAAGTTATACAAATGGATAAATGTTATAAATTATAAAAACTCCTGCTACCCTAAATTTTAACATTTTATATTTGCAAAAACAAAAAAAAAACAGTTTATATTTGCTTTGTCATTCTTTCTCTCTACATATACCTTTTTTTATCTCCATAAAAATTTTGAAAGTTGCAAATATAATGCCCCTTTTCTCCTAAATACTTTAGTGTATGTTTCCTGAAAGTATTCTCTTATGAAATTACCTTGCAGTTATTCTACCTTACATCAAGACTAATACACCTGTTTTAAACCAGACATTGTCTTGTGAGCTTGTTCCTCTGTTGTTAGATACTCTGAAAACATGACTTGTTTTTTTTAAAAAATGAGTTATTTTAACTAACAAACCAACATTATGTACATTTATCTTGTACAGCTTGTTTTGAAACACGGCTGTGTGGGAAGCATGACTGCATGACTGCACTGCTGTGTGATGTTGCATAAGTGGCTGTCACACAGATGACCGAACTATTCCTCTGCTGCTAACCAGGCAGCATTTTCTCCTGAGGTGCTTACAATTAAGAAACAGAATAGTGGCACACACCTGTAATCCCAGCACTCGGGAGGCTGAGACAGGAGGATTGCTGCAAGTCCAAAGCCAACCTGGGCTACAAAGTGGGTTCAAGGCCAGTCTAAACTGCATAGCGAGACCTTGTCTCAAAAAGACCAAAAATAAATAAATTGATAGATACATAGATAGATAGAAGAATAACTAGGAGTGATGCAGCTCCTGATCTGCAGTCAAGCCTGGACTGGTGTCCTTGCTGTGCCACGTGCCTATCTGTGGAACAGGGGTGATACAGGCTCTGCCTCATGGAGGGGCATTAGGGGCCACACACATGGTGCCTGTCCCACAGAAGTGTTCCCTGCTGCTCCTTGCTGTTAGCTTCACTAGCAGTGCTTTTGGTCTCCTTCCCTTTGTTTGGGCTGCTGACATTCCTGGTAAGTGCAAACTCCCATCAGCTTTTCAGTTTGAGAATGGTAAAACCTATTGAAAATCTGGGAGTTTTGTATAGTGGTCACCTGACCCTCGGTGATTAACATCCCATCACCTTTGTCCTTTTCTGTTCCTAATTTTTATTGTTGTTAATCCATTTAAAGCAAACTTCAGGTGCCGTGTCACCTCATTCCTAAAAACTTCGCATATGTCGGTAAGGTTAACGCCTTCTCTTCCAGAACTGCACTGTTGTTACCTGGCCACAGGCCAGAGTGTAGCTCAGTGATAGCACTAGCCTAGCATGCTGGAGGCCCTGGATTTGACCTCACAGTACGAAATAAAAAACTAAAAGTGTATTAACCTTAATTCCATAGTTAATTTCCTATAGAGTCCATGTTTAAAATTTGCTCAGTTGACTTAAAAATGTGTGGTGTGGTTATTTTAGACTAGGATCTAACTAGTATGCACACTACTGTTGCCTCTGCACTCCTGTTCAATCTAGAACAGTCTTCTGCCTTTTTAAACTGATGACTTTCTGAATCATCTAGACAGTCGTCTTGTAGATGTCCCCTTTGGTCATGTGCTGTTTGGACCTTTCAGTCATCTTTAGCCCCCTTTCACCACCACCTGTGGCCCCTCAGAGTGATGCAGTGGACATGGGGACTGCTACCCTTCTCTGGACAGGACTCTGTAGACTGTGTTGAATGACTAAGTTCAGGGCTGTGCTGTCTCTAGCTTGGACTTACTTAACTGGTCTTAGGGAAAGTGGGTGCTGCCACCTGGCTTCCCATCCCATCTCTTCCTCTGTTATGTGTAGTAGAAATTGCCCTGTGACTGAACAGTTTCACGTAGGTGCCCTCTGAGCCAGTTGGAGATGTCATTCCAGGGAACCTCATTTGACAGGCCTAGGCCAGGGAGAAGTGCACGTGCCCCTGTATTTGTTTCTGTCTCCTGTACTTTGGCACTTGGCTGGTTGTCTCAGCAATGAAGCCTTTGCATCATTCCATGTGAGAGCAGTTTAGGACCCCCGCCCCCCATACACACACATGTGGTGGTGGTGGTGGGAAGAACATCCATGCCCCGGTGCCTGCAGTGCTGCCCACCTACCTCTCATCACAGCCAGTGACACAGCCAGCAAGAGGGTAATGAACAGAGAGGATACCACAGCCTTGCAGTGGGGAGGAGAATAGCTCAGCCATTTACAAATCAGGACAGCCTGAACCATCTCATCACTTTAGGTGCATGCCTATAATCCTAGCATTTGGGAAGCTGAGGCAGGATGATCCCTAGGAATTGAAGGCCATCCTGGGCTACATGGTGAGTTCATGGCCAGCCTGGAGTATGGAGCGAGACCTTGCCTCAAAAACAAAACAAAACAAAAACACTTACTTACTATAAAACAAATTAATTACAGGTATGTATAACAGAAAGTGTTGCTTAAAATTCTGATCTCTAGAAGTAATCTCCATTTGGAGTTGGATTGTGCTTTCTACTAGTATTAGCCCTCCAAGTTGTTTAAAAACTTGAGATCATGTCTGTACTTGTTATGGTTTGTGCCTGGGTGTCCCCCCAAAGCCTCATGCAGTCATGGGGCAGGCTTCTAGAGTTTGACTGATTATGGGTATGAGAGCTACACCCGCCCTGGGGTGGATAGTTTGCATATGTAAGGGAGAGGAAGAGGCTGCTTGCCGCCAGTCCTCCTTTTAGTGCTTGTTGCTTTTGCTGTGTTGACCTGCCTTGAATGGTTGCCCTCTGCCCTCTGCCACACTGCCTTATAGCCAGCCGAGTATGGACTGAAACCTCCACAAACTGTGAGCTAAATAAACCTTCCCTTCCTAAATTTTGGGCGTAGAATATTTTGTCCCAGCAACGAGAGAAAAGTAACCAAGACAGAATTTGGTACCAGAGGAGTGGGGTCGTTGCTGTGACTATATCTGACCATGTGGTTCAAGAGCCTTTGGAAGTGGCTTGTGGGAAGAGTTTGGAAAGGTTCGGAGATGTCGCCTGAAAGAGAAGCACTAGAACACCTTCGGCTGTTCTGTCTGGGAGATTCTGGTCAGCACTCGGAAGACCAGAAAGCTGATAGAAATCCTGCCAGTAAAGAACGGGTTCGGGAGGTTTCTGCTGGGAAGAAGGACTGCATTGGTTGTTGGACTCCAGTCAATGTGTGTTATGGCTTGGCAGAAAGTTTGACTGCATTTTGCTTGTGTCCAGAGACTTTGCCTGAAACTGAGATTATGGGCAATGGCAGACTAATGAATCTGGCAGAAGAAATTTCAAGGCAGTCAGATGTTGGGGAAGTGGCATGGCTATTGTTGGGGGCTTTTAGCCAGATTTATATTGAGAATCAAGAACAAAGAGCCCAGCAGGATGATTTAAAATGTTGTGAGTTTGGCCAGAAAGAAAGTTCCAGTAAAGCTGTGGACTGCAGAGGTGGAGCTGAGGAGATCTCCATTGCTAAGAAGGAACAAGAAAATAAAAAAGGTGGCCTGAGGGCATCACAAGAAGCAGCAAGTCTCCACCCTTTGCAGCTTCAAAACTGCAAAGGTGAAAGACCTTGCCTTGAGAAGAAAGCTGCCGAGCACCATGTTCCAGAATGGTGGCTGTGGCCACACCATGTTCCTGAATGGCAGCATAGAGGATTTGTTCCTCAGAATTGGATTCAGAGTGCCCAGCGATCCAGGCACTCAATCCCTGTGGCCAAGAGAGAAGAAA